GAAAAAAAAAAAAAAAAAAAAAAAAAAAAAGTCCCAGAATTCAGAAATGCCATGACCTTACAGAGAGAGAGAGGCCTGCAGCTGAGAGATGTCACATAGTGCAGAATACCTCCCAGCTACATCATGGGACGGGGTTTGAGTGTATTAGTTCCCTTTGCATGGCACAGAGGATGTTTACCCACGAGTTTTGCTTTGAGAAAAGCAAAATTACCAGAAGAAATTAAGGTGCCTTTCAGCTCATCTCTTCTGACATGGAAGCATTTGCCGAGTGGCTTGCCCTCTGTGTTTATCTAAAAGAATTGATAATCCCTGAGACTGGCCACAGTGTTTCACCTTGCACATGCATGCTTCATCAGTGAAGCCCAGACACTCAGACCAGCAGAAATAAAGTAACATTGTGCTATCTGTCTTGCCTGAGACTTGCAGTTTAGAAATCTGTAGAAGAAAGCCTTTATAGAATTTCTTAAGGATCCTTCTGACTCCCTTTCCCTTACTCTTTCCTCTCCTTTCTAATGCTTTGTTACGAAAGAAAAAGCTGATGTTGCTGTTGAAAGTCTTATACCAGGACTGGAGCCCCCGGTTCCCCAACGCCTCCCATCTCAGACGGAATCTGTGACCTCAAACCGCACAGGTTAGTCAGGAGTCTCTACAGCTGCAGTGATTGGTCCATGTGGTGAGCCCTCGAAGCCAGTCTTTCCATCTGTGGTGGTTGATTCTGGGCTTATTTTTCAGCCTACTTAGTTCTTCCTAGAGTGAATGCTCTGAATTGTTCCTACAGCTCCAGCTTTTAGCTGTTGAGTGATGTTTCCTTACTAAAGAACTGAGTACCTTTTGGAGCCATGTTCCCTGTAGAATGATCCCTGGGCTTGCTCTGGTTACAGTATTTCTTTATTCAAGATTCTTTCCCTGGTGGCAGGTTTCCTCCACCTCCTTTTTTGTTTGTTTCTTTGGTTTTGTTTTGTTTTGGTGGCTAGCAGGTATGGGGATCCAAACCCTTAACCTCGGTGTTATAACGCTGCTCTCTAACCAACTGAGCTAACCCGCCAGCCCTCTCCATCTCCTTAATTAAAGAGCTCTGCTGAACTGTAACTCCTCCAGGTTGCTGAGCAGTCTTTCCTGTCTAACATTGTCAGTGATATCCATGGAGCTGATCTTCTGTAGGTGGACATACTGTTCCCAGTACAGTGCTTTAGTCATATATAGGTGACTTGCTGTAGGCAAAATTGAAATCGTCCCTGGACCCAGCATTGCTTTCACCTTAATTTCAAAATTCAGTCTTAGTAGAATTCCTTAGCTGCCCATATATATAGATTTGATATCCTCCTTTTTTTTAGTCTGTAATTACCTCGATAAAAGTATCTGGGAAACAATTAGAAATCTAGGAAATGTGAGGGTAAACACATCCAGGTGAAGAAAAAAATTACCCACCCCCCCAAACAATATGGTTCCTTTTCATTGTCCTCACTTGGATGTTTTCTCCTAGAAAACTTTCCCAGAAAACAATTCCTATGTTAAAATGCTTGATTTCTGAATTTTGTCTTCTGTTTTTTTTTCTTTTGTTTGTTTGTTTTGTCCTTTTTGAGACCGGCCGCACCGCACTCAGCCAGTGAGCGCTGTGATCGCACCGGTCATCCCTATATAGGATCTGAACCCGCGGCGGGAGCGCTGCTGTGCTCCCAGCGCCGCACTCTCCCGAGTGTGCCACGGGCTCGGCCCTGTCTTCTGTTTTTTTTTTTTTTTTTTTTTTTTTTTTTTTTTTTT